TTGGGGGGAAGGCCAGAGAGGAACTAAGCAAGTAAAAGGATACCTTGATAGTGGGAGATGTTTTGGGGTTAGCCCGAGCCCAGGCTCTACGGAAATTCCAATGAATCACAATGGAGAGCCCCACTTAAAACCTAAGCCTTAGTAGAGAGGGTGTCTTAACTGCCCTTGCACTGTAATCATCTTGATGACTACCTTCATTGTCAATGTCGAATCTTCATCCAGTAACTGATGGGAGCTGATGAAGAGATAGATGCATAGGTAAGCACTGGCCAATCCTCTGTAGTCCAGTCTTACAGAAGGAGGAGGAGTGTTAACATGAGCAAAGGGATTGAGACCTTGGTGGGGAATCCTACAGAAACAGCAGACCCAAGCAAGTTTCAAGTTGGAGGTCACTGCCTAAGGGCTGACAGCTGGGGAGCTTCATAATACTGAACTAGGCCTCATTTATATGGGGTGAGGGTTCAGTGGCTTGGGCAGTTTTTGGGACCAGTTGAAGGAGAAACAGAGCCCATTCTATATGCATACTTTGCTTATCCTAGATACATGAGGGAAGTTCTTTATTCAGTCTCAAGTGATGTCATATACTATGTTGATTCCCATGTGCTTTATTCATTAACCAGTATGAGAAACATATTTACAGAATGACATCGCCCATCATTTCCTCTTTTCTGTCTAAAAATAAAAAGAAGGGTTTTAACCTTAACATAGCAAAATATATCACACAACAGTTATCAAATAAGAATCAGTTAACAATATTTAGTCCATTAATATTTGAAGAAATTTGAAGTCCATTAAGATTTGAAGAAAAGATTTCATCATCTAGCCTATCTTTGTGTATCTAAAGTTTATATAACTTATCTTTAATCCTAACTAAGGAAAATTATAACCATAACTGTCTGTCTTCAACTCCTTCAAAGACCACAGGATAGTATATAAACTCTACAAATGACAGAGACAACACACTGCCTGGTAAGTCACCCAAAGTTCTGTAATTTTCCATCTTCAGGCCATAGGCCATAGTGTGTCTGGCAGACTCCTCAGCAAAGCAGGAAACTTTAAATTGTCCAACTGTATTGGCAGTATGTCAGTCACTTTTCTCTGTGTCCTGCAGACTCTCTGGCAGACTCTTCCATGAAGCAGGAACTCTGTAGCAATGTCCATCTTGTTTCAGCAGTCACATGGATCCTGCATGTCCAGTTTATACAGCATAATGTCACAAGAGCAGTATCTTGTCCAAATGGCTAGTCATGCCATATTGAAAGTAACTTCATAACGCATTTCTTCGATGTCCATCTTCAATCTTCCTTTCTGGTACAGGTGGTGTTGCCAGGAGCATTTATGTCTCACTGTCAAGAAAACCCCTAAACCATTTTAAATGCCATATTCTGTAGGTCTTTGAAAGGTTTGAAGAATGCCTATCCATCTCAAATACATGTCTATATGTCTACAAAACATAACTAACTTAACTATAATATCTGACTATCGTAGGTACTATCTATAATCTGTATTGAATTATACATTACATTTCTAAATGAGCTATATAAACACAATACCTAAACAAAAGGAGAACTATACATATCACAAAATTGACCTTAAATTGTATCAATAAATAAAATCCACTCCAAAACAAAGTGTTCATAGCTATATCATAATCCCCTTTTTACCTTTAAAGATATTGGCTGTGATCATTAACCATTTATAACTAACCCCATTTAAATGAAAACAAACATTTATAGCTAATATTTGGGAAATGGGGCATTGTTCTTTCCAAACTACTTCCTGCTGGCAAAGGGCGATGTCATGGGGATCCTAAGAAGATGAAATCCTGGCTGTAGTCTGCAAGGCTGCCTTGTTCAAGCTGTTTTGAATGTTGGATCACCAGGAACACTGTTTCAGGGGGTCTGGCTTGCTCAAACCACATTAGTCTGGAAGGAATCCACAACTTTTCATTTTCTGTGGAAACAAAATTAGAAATCCTTTTCCCCAGTAACTTGTCCTTGAACTTAAATTTTGAAGTCAAAGCATTTTTAAAATATATAAATTGAATTGATCCAGCAGCATTTGTTTTAACAGTTATTTCCTTAGCAGTCAAACAATTTAACGACAACAGAATAGATTTTTGTGTTTTCCATCTTAACGTGGCTTTTTTTATTACTCTGTTTCTTTTACTTATATTTTTTCATTTTTTGAGACAGGGTTTCTCTGTGTAACTTTTATCTGACCTGGAATTCACTTTGCATACCAGGTTTACTTTGAAATCACAAGAAATCTGCTTGCCTGTCTCCGGAATGCTGTGATTAAAGGCATGTGCCACCACACCCAGCTCCTCTCTGTCTATTTAAAACCATTTTATTCCTTTTCTCTCCCAAGCCTACATATATATTAGAACACATCATAAACCTTTAGAGGTTTTCTTAATATGAATCTGTCTTTAGTGTAAATCTTTATCTTTATCTGGTCTTTTATCTGTTAAACAACAACATTGCTAAAATGAAAGTCATAGCTGTGTCAGCCACGGTTTACCAAAGATGGCGGCGGGTACCTTTACCGCCAGCAGTGAGAGCTGTGTTCACCGCCTTGGTCTAGGCTACCCTCCAGCAGCATGCTGCCAGCTTGGAGATGTGGTCATTGCCATTGCCAGATCTGATACACACCAATAAATTGTTAGCAGAGTTTCTTAAAAGCCGCGTGGTTTTTTTTGCCGCTTATGCTGAATCAGGAATCCTCCTTTAAAGGAGCGGCGCAAATATCTGCTTGTCTCTCGCAAAGCAGAGTCCAACTGAGAAAAATGCTGTTAGTAAGAAACCTTGCTTGTCTCTGTTCTTTTGCTTTTAAAACCCTTTTTTAAGATTTTGTTAAATTTTAAATGGAAGTTCTTATTAGCCACATGGGCTCCATATGTAAGGAGTAGGGTTTTTCTGCCTGCCACCTGGTCTTGTCCCTATGCCGGGCCAGGCCCAAATAACATAATATAATATAATATAATATAATATAATATAATATAATATAATGCTGTTGGCCAGGTACTAGTTTCTTATCGGCTAGCTCTGTCTTAATTATTAACCCATTTCTGTTGATCTATGTATTTTCACGTGGATTCCTTACCAGGGAGTCGGGCAGGCATCTGGTCTCCCCGGATTCTCCATGCTGACTCCTCCTTTCTACTTCCTCTTTCCTCCTCCTCTCTTGCTTTTCTATTGGCCAACAGTGCTTTATTCATTAACAAGCATGAGAAACATATTTACAGAATGACATCTCCCCTCAGACAGGTAATCTTTGCTTTTTCCATCTGCTAAGTCAGGCAAACTGTAACAGAATTACCATTTGTAATTAACTCCTGGTGAGAAAGTTCAGCCAACTTCCTACATTATCAATTTTCCCCTGCAATACACACAATCCTTGGTAAACACTTACCTTTGCATTTTGGGTGTTATAAATTGCCAGTTCTCCCATTATCTTGGCTTATCTCAAACCACATTAGGGAGAAAACCAAATAGGGCAGAAAATTAAACTTTTTTGATTCAAAATGTTTGGGGTGGGGGGCTTTACACTCCTTCAATAAGAATAGTACTACCCATTTTGCCTCTTTTCCTTGAGTTATGATATATATCTTCATTCCTGGTCTATCTATGCATTTCTCATATACACAGATTAGTCTGCTGTAGTCTCCCATCATCTGCAATAATTGACCAAGGTTGCACCAGGAGAAGCCTTATAATCCAACCACCATAATGTTTATAACCTGAGTACAATACCCGCATGGACATGTTGTCATCAATATTTGGTGACTAAATCAACAGGGAGCTTGGTTGGGATTAACATCTACATCTATAACTCCAGTCTAATTTGGAAAGACTTGTCAAAGAAGAACCAAAAGAGTCAGGCAGAGGAGGTCAAGTGAGGAGAGGCAAAGATCCAGACATTAACCTGTTTTCAGAAAAATTTTCATATCTGACAATGGTGGAGAGGGAAGAATCATTTTCCCAGTACCTAAAGACAGAACCCCGGTTGAGGTGGAGAAGTATGGACTCTCAATGAACCAATTTCATTCTCCTTTTTCAAAACCAATAAAGAATTTGCAAAGACAAGTCTATCCAAAGACTGCCAAATGCAGTTGACTTCTTTTCCTTTGGCACCCACATCTCATTTTCCATGAGAGCATGAGGGGCTGATGTCTTTTGCCCAGGCAACTATAAGCCAAAGGGAGGGGTGTGAGGTCTTTTGGGACTGGTATGGTCCTGAGGACTCTGCACAAACTCCCAGGGCCTAGAAGTGTTGGATGGACTAAAAAGGGCTTCTTCAAACAGAAGCAGCACAGAACCCAAAATCTTATTGTAAAATTTTTATTCACACTATATATAGTCTGTGGATAACAGAGATGGATGCACCCACACAGATAAGAGGAAGCCTTAAATCCTCTGGGTCTCCAGTTAGACAATGTTAAGGAGTCACACATGTATACTGAGAGCAGAACTCATAAACTGGTGATCTGTAGGAGGACTAACTGAGTAAACCCTGCAGTACCAACACACTAAGTGTGGATTAAAAAAACAAAAAAAAACAAAAAAAAAAAAAAAAAAAAAAACCCACTTCTTGCTCGTCCAGGTCTCTTACAAGCAAACTTTCATGTTTGATTCCTCCTTTTCTGTAAATTCTTGATCATGTGCTCTGCTCAGTCTAATCCACACAGGATCCTCCAAAAAGAAACCTGGTAAAATGTGCTTGGGAACAACAACTGTACTGGATCCCAGTATTCCACTCACTGGCCAGAAAGCAAAGCAGTACAGCAACTGGGTAGAGTATGTTAGAATACAGGGCTCCCATTATGTAACCTGCCATACATCTAATACACACTAGTATTAAAGGCCTGAGGCCCCATCCTGTCTTTGCCCAGATTCTCTGTAAATGCTACACATGTCTGGCAGTCTACCCAGGAGTCCTTGGTACCTAAACTGGCTGCTGCTTCTGGAATACACCTGTAGGTCACAGCTGAGAGGATCCTAAGATTTCTTCAGGCGTTTGGAAGGGGGCTCCAGTGAAGAGCAGTGAGCAGAAGCCAGGGAGCTGTATGCTTCTGCCACCAAGTGGGGATATGAGCCCACCATTGTCTTCCAGCTTGAGGTCTCAGAGACCTCGGAAGCATGAGCTGTAATGAAATGCAGTGCCTGGGTTTTCAGCTGCTTTGCACTGTGCAGATCAGCCAGGATGAGAGAGTCGGCAGCATTCTCAACACAGAGGTCCCTGCTCAGGGCACTCTCGCACATGACCTTCAAACGCTCCAGGCTATACTTGTCAGCAGCTGCCAGCACAGCATCTGCCATGCTGTGGAGGTCTGGTGCCTTTCCGGTGTAAATGAAGCCCATCATTGCCTCGAAGACTTGCGGCTCCAGATCATGGATCTCAATGCGGTTTGTTCTACTCTCCTTCAAGTCATGTTGAAACAGGGTTCTGAAAACCGGAGAGCGAGCTGCTAAGATGACCTTGTGAGCCCGGAACTCCTGGCCAGCTACCACCAGGCAGCAGTCTGTGAAGAAGGATTTCTCCCACAGGTCTCCTAGATCATCTGCCATCGTGCACCTTGGAACCTGGATCTCTGGAATTGTGCTCTGGTCAGAGATGTCGAAGGAGCCTTGGACCATGTTCACCTTGCAGAGGAGGGTGAGTTTGTAATCTGGGAGAAGCCATGGTTCCTGTATCAAAAGTATATCTTGAAGAATGAACTTTTTGAATCCACAGTATTGGTTTTGCAGAAACCTGAAGTATGTTGGGCTCTTCATGACATGTGATTTCTCTCCGTTGGCATTAATGATACAGAACTGGAACTTTGCCCATATTGGGTTCTTTGGGAAGCCGAGCAACCCTAAGAAAACTGACAGGTAATCTTTGCTTTCTTCATCGACCCCATTCGGTTGTACCTTCAAACACCATTTGTGTGTGTCATTGGATCCTGATGAGAAAGTGGGACTGCTAATATATTTCCCCTGCATTTGCTCCAAGAAAAAATGGAAATTGCTGATGGTCCACTCGTAGCTGAATTCCTGTATGTTGATTGGTGTGTAGCCCCAGCTCTCCCCTGCCAATTCTGCTGACATATCTGCTTGTGATCGTTTGAAGGGTAACCTCGACACAAAGTGACGAGCTAGAATGTTTTCTTCTTCAACCTGGTGGTCACAATCAGAGATAATTTTTAAATTTTTAGGTTCTATTTTTCTCTCTATTCACTCTTCCATTGGTCTGAAATCTTGGTTCTCTCTGAAATTTTCTTTCTGGGTTCAAAGGTAGGTTTCAGAGAAGGCAGTCTAGGCTGCTGGGAACTGCTACATAACTCCATTTCTCCAGATTTACTCTTAGGACAGTAGGTCAATTTTGACATTTACATACAACTTTTGAAAAAATTATAACATTTTATACACTCTTACTGGAAATGTGTAGAAATGAGGATCTCTACAGTAACAGAACACTTGGAATGAATCTCTCTATATATGTGAAAAAAAAAAAAAACAGGATTCATTACAAAAACAGAGTCCTGTGGTCATGCTAATATCACAATGGCTAGCTGTGAAGGAAAAGACAAAGGATCCAGTACTTACTCAGTCTAGGAAGTTAGATGTGTCTGTTGGCTGGTCTTCGGTAAATGCTGAAAGTGAGACTAAGTATTCTCTAATGCCAGTGAAGCAATGGATTTCCTTCAGGGTTAGGAGAACCAGTCAAAGAGAAACAGCTCTCTTCTTTCATGGTGTTTTATACTCAGACTCTGGAGGGTGTGGCCCAATTAAAGGTGTGTCTTCTCAGCTAAAGTTCTGGATTAAAGGTGTGTGTGTGTATATATATAGGCCTCAAGGACAGGACTAAATGGTTGTGTGGGATTTTTGTTGGGGAAGCATAAAAAATGGCTTTGGTTAATCTTGGCTTAAGGTCAAGACTTCAAAACTATCCTTACTCTTCCGAAGTTAAAGTCATAAGACCATAAGGTTTAAGGTGTGGCTATTACAGGATGTTTGGTCTTAGGCATCTAATTTAGATTAGGATATCTAATCTAAATAACAAAAGACTTGGTATGTGGTGTGGTTAATCCTAGCTAGCACTCATGGCCAGATAAATAGAGACTTAGTATACTGTTTGGTTATCAAATGTTTGGAGAATTAGAGAAAGTCTGTTTCTTACTTATATTTTGATAAAGAAGTCCTGTGCCATTTCCCACTTTTTTGTTAGGGTATTAAGAATGTTGAAATATAAACTTGGGGCATTCATTATTCACTGGATTCCTCTCCTATCTCTACTCTGCCTCTCTGTCAATTCTTAGTGTTTTGACCTGAAATTTCTCAATACGCAGCCCCCCTTCTCAGGTACAAACATAGGTTAAAACAGAGTAACCCCACCAAGTGGGACTACCACAAATGGTTAATACAGTCTTTGGACCTCCAAAGTTCATATTGGAAGATGCTCTGTCTACTTCAAATTAAGGAAAAATTTTCTCACAATTATGCCTTCCATTTTTGGTTAACTTAGTTCTAGATGTAGTTAAGTTGGGAACCAAGAATAAAATCACAAGTGTATTTTTCTTTTGTTAATCTTCGATAAAAGAAGGCCAGTTTCCATATTAGCACAGTTGTTAATTACTCTTCTTAAGGTGTTACATCAATTCCTAACATAGACCTGATTTGGGAAAAGGAGTTTTTCCTCCTTGAACCTCGCCACCCTCCTGCCGGACCCAGGTCATGAGAAGAAGGTCCCTCATGATTGCCAGCCAGTGCTGGATGTAGAGCATGTAACATGCCCAGATCTGATTGATCAACATCTGCCAGACGTGGGAGCCAACCTGGTTCATGGATGGGAGCACTTTCCTCCAAGAAAAATGAGAATCCTAAATGGTCCGCCAAACAGCCTCTGTTCCAGTACTCAGCTGAAGACCTAGCCATCCTAAGCAAAATAGGTGCAAAATATGATTCAAAAACCCAGAATTGGAGATACCAAGGGAAACTAGTCCTCCCTCAGGGGGAGGCTAAGACTTTGGTGACTAACTTGCACAAAGTGATTCCTTTGGGTAAGGAAAAAAAAAATGGCCACCTTGTTATCCAGAGAGGAATTGTTTTTCCTTATACCCCATATAGACTCCCTCCTTCCACAAGTTGTCAACAACTGTGTCCCCTGCACCAAGGTCAAGGAAGGGAGACTAAAAGTACCAGAGGCTATCAGAGCCAGAGACCATCACCCTAGCACATATTAGGAAGTTGACTTCACAGAGATCAAGTCTGGCATGTATGGTAACAGATATTTGCTAGCCTTTATAGACACATTTTCAGGATGGGTTGAAACTTTCCCCACCAAGAGAAAAACAACTCAAACAGTAGTCAAAAAGATACTGGAAGAAAATTTTGTCCGGTTCAGCCTGCCTAAGGTAATAGAGTCAGACTACGGGCCTGCTTTTATCTCCCAGTTAAGTCACCTGGTGGCCAAATGACTGGGGCTTGATTGGAAATTACATTGTGTCTATAGACCCCAGAGTTCAGGACAGGTAGAGAAAATGAGCAGAACAATCAAAAGCCCTAACAAAATTAGTGCTGGAGACTGGCACTAGGGACTGGGTTCAACTCCTACCAATGGCTCTCTATAGAGCAAGAAAATACCCCCAGTCCCCATGGACTCACACCATTTGAAATCCTATATGGGGGACCACCTCCAGCCATTACATTTTTGATTATGATATATCTGCTTATGCCAATACCCCAACCCTACAGGCACACTTGCAAGTACAGAAAGCAGTTCAGGAACAGATTTGTAGGCCCTTGGCTGCAGTCTATAGAGAAAAAAGGACCACTGGCCAAGCCTCATGCCCTCCAGATCGGGGATAGGATCTATGTGCTGAAACACCAATCCAAGATGTCAGAGCCCCACTGAAAGGGACTTTACTCCATGCTCCTGACCACCCCAACAGCCCTAAAAGTTGACAGGATTGCTGCCTGGGTGCACAAGCCAGCCTTCAGACTCAGAAGCATCAGAATCATGGCTGCCTCAATGCACCAAAAACCCACTCAAGTTAAGACTCTCAAAGAAAACTTGCTAATGGTTTTCATGCTCTTAAGCTTCTGTGCAGCTCCTAACACCTGAGACAGGAAAAATTATAAACCAGACCTCCTGAGGAAAATGAAGGATATCCTGACAGATTGAACAGGGAACAAGACTAGTTTAAGTAAATCCCCTTGACTCACTACCCTAGTCCCCACAATCCTGGGGACCCTGCTTACCTTTGGGCCCTGTACCCACCAATATCAGTCTCTCAAGCAATGAGAGGGACCTTACATTTTAAGATTAAAACCTCACAAAAAGAAATGGGGAAATGAAAGATTTTAGTTTGCAGAGCAAGGATGTAGGAAGGAAAATAATTCTTGCAAGCGGAATATAGAAAATCATAAAGAATGGACGATGTCATGGGAGGAAAAAATCAGGAATTATGAGAACAAGAAAGGTTACTATGGCGATGGGGCTAGTGGTTATAAGCTAGGCTGATCTTATTAAATAGGGCTAGTTATTGAATCATCAAACCTTTGTGGAATAACTAAAGGCTCTAAATGTACAGCAAAGAGAAAGCCAGAGTATGAAAGAAGTTTCTCACAGGTCTTAGCCCAAAACAAGGAAATAGGCCCCCAACCCTGGAACAAACGGTCCCAGATGAACAGCCCTGTCTGGGTCATACCTGACAAAGGGACAGTATGGGGACTTTCTAAGTCATTCTATGGTTTATTCCTTGAAGAAGAACAGGTCACACCTGGGTGGTCTCTCAAACATGAGATCATATTTTGTAATCAACCACCTTGTGCCCCATGAATGTATGTTGATTTCCGGTTTGTCTCTTAAACTGAGCCTAAACCATTTGAGGGGTGTGCAGCTTTCCCTGGATTGCTGACACCTGAGTGCACTCATTCAATAAATACCTCTTGCTTGCTGCATCTCCTGGTTTTGGTGTTTGTGCCCCAGGGCTCTCCAAATCAGCCCATCAGGACCCCAGAATTAGGGCCCCACAGTCAAGCATTTAGATTGATTCGAAGTAGCTCATATTCTCCCTCCTCCACTGGTGGGTTCTGTCCACTTCAACCTCAACAGTGCATTGATTATTCTGCTGGTCCATAAAAGTGAGAGATAATTCTTATTTCCATGAAATTAGACTATATTCAACAGAAAATCTAGAGGCTTTAGGATGGATCCCTAAAGTAGAAAATTCTCCCTACATGTCATGTCTCTCCAGTTAGTCCTATCTTGGAGAGACTCTCTGAGACTAGACCACAAGGAAATAAGTTCCCTAATTCAATCAGCTCAGCCACTCCCAGTCTTGCTCTCCTAGAAGTCTGGAGGCAACACAACTTATCTCTCAGCAGGGGATTATCAATCGATTATTTTGATTGTTTGATTTTCTTTCCACCTTTGGTTTCCTTTTTTGGTTTTGTTGTTGTTGTTGTTGTTTTGGTTTTTTGTTTGTTTGTTTGTTTTTGTTTTTGTTTTGTTTTGTTTTTTGATTAATTGCAAGTGGACACTTATTGGCATAGGTGATTCTTCACCAGGTTGGTTCAGGGTCAGGGTGGTAGGTAGCTATACCAGAAATAACTCATTTGAAGGGATTGTACTTGTTATTTTCCAGACTCCACATTAGAAGATGCTCTTCAGTGACTGTTGAATATATTCTGCACCCTTTGCAAACCAGAATGCTCTTACAATGTTAAGCCCAGCAGAGTAAGCCTGGAAGTTCAAAGATTAAAGAAGACAGAACTCAGTAGTGAAGGATGAAAATTATAAGGAAATGAGAAGCTGAATCTTGGCAGTCAGCATGAATATTGAGAGGTATTTAGGATCTTTTTATACCCTTAAGTGTAATATAAGTGGTGAGTTCCAGGAGGATTAATTAAGAAAGATGGCAAGACCACCAAGAAAATTTGATGGAGCCATTCCTGAGACTGTGATTATGGGTGGAATAAAAAGCAGGAAAGAAGACAGACATTTTCAGAGGGTCCTACCTGGCTCTGTTTAATACAGTGGAGTGGTAGAAAAAAATATTTATTTATATTTTTTGTCTTTCATTCTGTTTTTTTTTTTTTTTTTTAAGACAGGCTTACTTTGTCTTACTTTAAAT